ACAATTCTACAAAAAGAGAGAGAACAAAAGTATGCAGCAGTTGATTGGTCTGTGAGGAATATATGCATTGGTTCCAATTGGTCACATTTCAGCAAAGCAGTTACCCATGCACAGAGCCACTTATCTCTAAGGAGTGTTGAGTTTTTCTTCCCCTTGTCACATTTCAGCAAAGCAGTTACCCACTTATCTCTAAGGAGTGTTGAGTTTTTCTTCCCCTTACAATACCTAAAAAAGAGTCTAGAGCAGCTCATCCTGAATTCAGGATTGTTCCTGACAGAAAATTCTCCAGTGTTTTGTCCAGTTGTCTTGTAAATGGTTCAGGCACTGAGTAATCAACAGAGGTCCAAATTTTATGTTCCCCATGTCCTCACTATGAAGAGATTTGGCCCCATTCAGTGTTAATGAGTCATTTCTCTCTCATCCATTAAATCAGCATTTGTTTGACAATAGTAGATGTTAGTTAACCATCTCAGCAGTTACAAATTTACAGCATTGGAAGGACATATTGTTGTAGTCTGCTGTGTGGGACACTTGCTGTCAAAAATTACCTCGCTAGCTGTAGGTATTTGCTTTTTGCCATAGAATGACAAAGCCTTTGCATTTCAAGAGCCAGCTAAAATACAGATTGTCCTGGTCAGATTAGAAGCATACTGCTAGGCCTTGAACACAGCACTTGGCTGTCTGCAAAGAAACTTAAAACAGAGGGTAGTGTGTGGGGGGGGAATGATTCCTCTGCTTTTGCTGACCTCAAATGTAGCATTATGCAGCAATGAACTGCTGTGTCTGTTGCTTTACCTTTCTTCCTTTTGAGTTTTAAGATAAGAAGATGCTTCCAGACTTATAGTAAAGAAATTTCAGATGTCATCTGACATGCATGGGATTTTGTAAGAGTCCTTAACATTCTGGTTTTATCATCTATTCACTATTTACTTTGATTACCAGCAGTACAGAGTGACATTTTCTCCAAGATTTGCTACATTTCAGTGTGGGAAAAGTGAAAGCAACAGATTTGCGTATCCTACTTTTAATGGGAAAAAATGAACTTGGTAGAGGGGATGGCTTATTATATTGCTAGCTAAAATTCATGAGGCCCTTCTCTTTGTCAATGTGAAAAGACATGACTGAGAGTGTCCCTAGTGAAGAATGTATAGACTGCAACCCATTAAAGTAAAGGTAAAGGTTCCCCTTGACATTTAGTCAAGTCGTGTTTGACTCTAGGGGCCGGTGCTCATCCCCATTTTCCAAGCTGTAGAGCCAGCGTTTGTCCATAGTTTCCATGGCCACATGGCCAGTGCAAATAGACACGGAATGCAGCCCATTAGGTGAGGCCAAATATATAGCAGAACTGAGGAGCAGGTTTTAATAAGAAGGAGCATGCTGTCATAGAGTTCTGTTTTGGGCTCAGTCATTTAGTCATTTAGTCGTGTCTGACTCTTCGTGACCCCATGGACCAGAGCATGCCAGGACCTCCTATCTTCCACTGCCTCCCAGAGTTGTGTCAAATTCATGTTGGTTGCTTCGCAGACACTGTCCAACCATCTCATCCTCGATTGTCCCCTTCTCCTTTTGCCGTCACACTTTCCTAACATCAAGGTCTTTTCCAGGGAGTCTTCTCTTCTCAGATATCAGATGAAAATTTCAGCTTTGGCTTTGTGGAGTATTACGGAAGTTCTAGAGCAGAAAGTTAGTCCTCATAAAGATGCACAGCTGGCAACAGGGACTGCAGTTGGGCCATGGGAAGAAAAGTGTTCCCTTCTCCTAACTGCTCATGAACAATTGTTCTTTTTATCAGGTTTTGATATGATGGACAGTCATCACCACCCAGAGTTACAATGCAATGCCCTTCGGCTCCCTTTGCAAAAAGTCTAATTCAGACGTTCAAGCCAAGGTTAACCTGTACATATGAGGAGAGAGCACAGCCTTGTTGCACTCCTTCTGTTACTGCGTTTTCATATGGAGAGGTGTAGTATGAAAAAATGAGAGCTTCTGCTGTGTTTGGAGTCTTTCCACGTGATCCAGATGCCTGAAAATGAGAGTGCCATGTTGTGAGGAGAGACTGCACATATACAGCATGTTGTCCTCTTCAGACCATTACTCTCCACATAAACAGATTGATGATGAAAGGGAAGAGGGGGACGAGTCTGTTCCTTTTCTTTGTGTGTTCAGGTTGATAACTATCTGGACTGCCTGTTCCAGGATAAAAGCATTATCATCATTCTCAAAATGAATTGGAAAGCCAGTATGATGCAGTATGTAGGAAGAAGACCGGGCTTTGTATCTGCTGAGCCATGGAAATCACAGACCTTGGGCCAGTCACTCTGTCTTTATTACTCTCTTTCAGCTGTATCTCATAGAGTTGCTGTTGAGAGGTTAAAAGAGGTAAGAAGAAGAGCTGTGTTCACTGCCTTGAGGCCAGTGGAAGGAAAGGGAGCTGTGTGTGTAACTAATGCATTAAAAGGAATCTGAAAAAATTAGGGGGGGCTGTTCATTTTCACTGAAACAGAAGCTGACAATAGTTGTAAGGATCATCCAGATAGCATAGGGGGGGATATGAAATCCCATCATCTGCTGTGAAGTCTATGCACATAAAAAGGTTTGCTGTGAGGCTGACATCTAGAGAAGGAGACCTACTTGGCAAAGAAGGCCCTTTCTCATATGAGACGTGACAATGTGCCTACAAAGTTTTGGTTCCAAGGTTACTACTAAGGTTACTGATAAATTCATTTCTTAAATATATTTATGGCCTAGTGAGAGAAAGAAGCATCTCTGCATAAAAAGGGGGGGCTGGGTAGCTTCTAAGTGGCTATTACTATGCTTTGATTTTGCAGTGTCCATAGTTTGCTTCTTATCACATCTTGTAAGAGAAAAAATATGAAGGAAGTATTAGTGAATCCGGACAAGACGGAGGTCTTGAGGGTGGGTGGTCCCTTCATCAGCGGTCTGGGTGACTCCCTTTCTTTTGGGGGGTCGACCCTCACTGCAAAGAGTGAGGTTCACAGCTTGGGGATACATCTGGACCCGGCGCTTACCATGGAAACCCAGGTGGCATCCGTGGCCCGCTCCGCCTATTTTCATCTGTGGCGGATCGCCCAGCTGCGACCCTACCTTGATGGGGAGTCTCTCACTACTCTCGTCCACGCGCTCGTAATCTTGCGATTAGACCACTGCAATGCACTCTACGTGGGGCTACCTTTGAGATTGATGCGGAAGCTTCAGATGGTGCAGAATGTGATGGCCAGACTTCTGAGTGGGGTGAGAAAACACCAGCAAATCTCTCCCACCCTGGCTGCCCTACACTGGCTGCCCATTTGCTTCCGCATCAACTTCAAAGTGTTAATGATGATGTATAAAGCCCTAAACGGTTTGGGACCTCAGTATTTGGCTGATCGCTTTCTCCCACCCAGATCTACCCAAATTACTTAGTATAGCCAGGACAGTCGGTTGAGGGACCTAACACTGAGAGAGGCCCGGAAAGAAAGAACAAGAAACCGGGTTTTCTCGGCAGTGGCCCCTCGACTATGGAATAGCCTTCCATCAGAGATCCGCCTGGCTCCCTCACTGGGTGTTTTTCAGAGCCATTTAAAAACTTGGCTCTTCAGGCAGGCTTCTTTCCCTCATTTCAATTCTTGAATTCTATCTTTTCTGTTCTTTTATTCCCCATCTTGATCACGCTATATTAATGTTCAAATGTTTTTTGATTATGAATGTTGTTTATTTGATTGTATGGTTTTTATTGTTATTTTATGATATTTTATGATTTTGTTAGCCACCCCGAGTAGACGCTGTCTGGGGGGGGGGTAATAAATAAATAAATACATAAATAAATAAATTAGCGGGAAATAAATACAGGTAATAAAAAGTGCTTTCTTTGTGAATATGCTCAATAAAATTAGTAGTAGTAGTAGTACCACTAATATGGAGTTCCCAAAATACTGGGGACAAGGACTAGAAAGACAAGAAAGGGACAAACCCTTAATGGACTTGTGTTTTTGATGGGACAATTATCCCTGGCAAATATTTCAATTGAATGTTTTTTTTCCCCCCTTTGGACGGGAGAGGATGGGAAAGGAAGAACTCAGCCTATTCAACAGAAATGGCTCTGCACATGAGCCTTCCAACATGCCCCACATATATGTATTCTTAGCTGCTCTCTTTGACAGCCTGTTTCCCTGTTTTTAAGAGTCCAAGATCTGAAAATGAAGTTTAATCAAGAAAACTGAAATATGAAGCCCTTTTACAATCTAGGACCTTGCTGCCTATCAAAGCGCCTCTCCCTCAGGTCATCTTCCGTCCCCCACACATACCTCACAGTCTTTAATGTTGCAAATGGCCACTCCAAAAGAGTCTTGGAAGGCATCAACCAGAAACTGGGTATTGTCAGTAGTGGCCACTCCACTCTGGAACTGTCTTCCTGTGGAGGTGTGACTGGCCCCCACCCTCCTGAGCTTCCACAAGCAAAAACCTGCCTTTTTACCCAGGCCTTCCCAAACACCACCCTTTCATAAAATTATGCCTGCCCATTGTCTGCCATCTGAGGTTCCAGACTGGTGATTTTATGGGGGGTAGGGTTTTGTTTGTTTTCTTTTAATATGTTTTATATAGTTTTAATGTTTTAGCTGTACGTTTTATAATATTTTCTAAGCCACCCAGAGTAGTGGCATGCTCACTGAATGGGTGGGGTATAAATCGAAATGAATGAATGAATGAATGAATGAATGAATGAATGAATGAATGAATGAATGAATGAAAGCATTAGATCTCCTGAGGGGTTCTGTCCTTCTAAGACAATCCTGGTGGAGCAATATCTTTTTATTTTTTTTAAAAAAAAAATTGTTCTTCCAATTCAAATAGATCTCTGACAACAATATGATCAAGTAGCATGATGGTCTCAGCAGAAAATGATTCCTGTGGAGTATGTACTCTCTTGTGTTTCAGCTATAATGAATATTGTTTACTGATTTACTGTTTCACTGAAAATGTGTTTTGTCATTGATTTGCAGGATGTGTTTTAAGCAGCTACAGTGCAGTGCCATGAAAGCGTATATTGTCCATGACACACTGGGATTATCATGATTGCTTACTCCATTTCGAATTTAACCACTGGCCACGAAATCTGCATGGTTGGCAGCAAAGACTGGATTTTTAAAGAGAGCATAACAGGTAGGACTCATGAAATCTGTTGGCTTCCTGACATCTTTATAAGGCTCTAAAAAGGCACACCAGCTATTGATTCCACGACATATTGCTTTTCAGTTTCTTTTAATAGGTACAGCAGATGGCTTCCCATAAAAGTTGTCTTTTACTGTGAAATCTCAGACAAGTATGTACAGTTTAATGGATCGTTCTCTTCTTGAGATGCACAAAGGTTAAAAAGAAAACATACATTAAAAGGTATAATAAAATTTGTCACATAGGGCTGAATGGCAGAATGGAATACACAGATTGTTCAGATGTTATATTTATTATGACAGCAAGATAAATACTCATTTGGCCATTAAAGAAAAGGTTCAGCTTGTCAGATTAGAATCCTTGCAGAAGTAATCAGATTTGTACTCTTTTATATCTCCATCAAATCCCCTTTGTAGAAACACAGATGCAAACAGCACATTTCAGCTTCACAATTACAAAATCAAAAAACAAAATCCTTTTCTTCCTTGGAAAACTGAAAGGTGTCCCTTTCTCTTGCTTCCACTCTTTCTTTTGTCAGTTCTCCTCTTTCTGTTTTCTGTCATCCCCCTTTCAAATTAAAAAGCAAACAAACATTTTCAGGTGTATGCCTTAGAGTCAAACATACTTAGTTATAAACCAGTTTGTCTTGAAATTAAAGAACAGACAAGATAGGTTTGTAATTAGAATTATAATCAGGTATGTATTTTTGTGTAGTTATTGTTTAATATCCCCTGAAGCAGTGATGTATTGCAAGTGGGGAGGAAAGAAACCTTAGAATTTACAGGGTAGGTAGAAGATCTCTTGCAGTAAAATCTCTGTTTGCCCAGGGGTACCAAGAAGGTGATGTCTGGAGGAACACCAAGCTGATAGTCTGTACCAGAAGCTGCATGCCCTCACATCATCACTTACTGGTTGAGTAGATAGTTGGTTTCCTCTGGACTACCTGCATTTTTAGAATTTCAAATACACCTGTCTCAACTAGGTAAATGTCTCCAAGGCTGAGAGAAAGAAATGAAATCTCATTGCTCAAAGGAGGTCTATAGAAAATTCTGTCCTTGATGATATCTGCTACATTTCAAGTATCTGATCAACAGCTTCTGATCATTAGTGACCACCTGGAAATTAGAACCACAGTTATAAACTGGAGGAAATAAGGAATATATAGGTAAAGTGGATAGAATGACAGATTGGGATTCTGGAGAACAGGGATGAAATCCCCACTTGGCCATGGAAACTCACTGGGGGAGTAGAACTGATAAAATAACTTCTTAAATACATCACTTACCTTAAAAGCCCTATTTGTGTTGTTAACACAGACAAAATAAAACCCAGTTAGAATGAGGATTCTTGGGTTCTAGGAAAAATCCTCAGTGCAGAGAAGATAAAAATGTATGTTATTTTAATCTGTATGATGATCTGAGTAAAGCCCACCATCAGTAGCCAAATTCTTTGTAAAAAATAGACCAGTAATGGGATTGATCGTAATGTTTCATAGCATAATTGCACACCAACTCTGTACATAGTAGGAAAATTGGTCCACTTGCTATATATCACTGTTTCAGGGGACATTAAACAATAACTAACCGAAAAGACAGCTTTATAAATCTGATTACCAGTCTATCGTGTCTATTCTCTGATTTCAGGACAAAATGATTTATAATTGAGCATATTTGTCTCTGATGTTTTTGTTAAGGCAGCTCTGTGTATATTATGCTTTGTTATTATGTAGGCTTGTGAAGATGGATAAATAGTAAAGGTAATGACTGAAATGAGACTACATGGCATTTGGAAGAAAAATATCACAATTCAGTTGAAATGGCAGAGATAAATGCAATGGATGAAATCCAGTTATTAGTCCCAACTAGAATAGACCCATTGAATGAATGGAGCTTGTTAATTAAAAAAAATGTTATGGAAGTCTCTTTGATTTAAAGAGCCTAGGAAAGACTAATAATTGGATTTATCCTCCTTCACCCCAAGTGAATTTGGGTGCCTGAGAAATTCTTTCCCCAGTGTAACAAGCCATTCAAACAACATTTCACTGTTGTTCAGGATTGGGGAGAAAATATTTGCAGAGATTCAGAGCAAAAGACTTTAGTGTTCTCTTGCTATCTAGATAGCAGGTGGGTAGTGGTGACTTGCATGTCAAGAAACTTTGAAGGGTTGGGAAACAATGACTATCATGGTTACTCGATAAACTGCATAATAAGGACGTGATGAATATTCATATGCTTTCTGGCCCTCAACGAAAATTGGTATCTCAGTGTATTAATGTGCTTCTTCCCTGTTGAAACCAGGGCAATTTCTACAAGATTTTTAACATCCACATGAGAGTGAAGACACTAACATTTGTTTTCAGCAGTAGCATTTGAAAAAACAACAACAAACCCTCTGTTTGTGTGGGAAAAAAGAGTATATTTTTCTTTTTAAACCATACACAAATGTGTGGCCTTCTGCAAGAAATTGGGGGGGAGGGGGTTTACTTCCAAAAAGTGTTTTCATCCAGAAAATGTACAAAATCTCTCTTGATCTCAGCCAGAGGTGAGGAAATGAAATTTGTGGAGATTTACACTCTTACTGCATAAACAGACAGCAAAAGAGGCAGGAGCCTGTTGCCACTCCACATGCTATTTACTCCCACCCCAGATTTTAAAAAGAGATTCTACTGCTCATTACCATAATACACACAGAAAAGCCTTCTCTTCTCTATCATGCCCAAGACAAGCAGTAGAAATGTATCCATCCAGGTTACACCCTGAGTAACAATCACCCCACCAAAAAAATCATTACTTCTCCTCCCATTTTGGGGAGCTGGATTCTACACCATCTCCCCTCCCCCCATTTCTGGAAGAGGTCATTCCAGCAAATTAGGGCCGAGCACTAACTGATGACTAAAAGATTTGTGATGCACCTTAAGGGACACCTTCTTTTTTGAAGCAGAATATCAAATACTGTGTTCTCTCCTATCCGTATCTTCATCATCAAGAACCAGTAGGAGCTGTAGGAGGGGAGGGGAAAGCCTTTACTTATCAAAAATCACCACCATTGAGGTTGCTGTCCCAACAGTGGCAGTGCTCAGTCATTAAAGGCTTCCTCCTCCCTGAAACCTCAACAGGTTCCTGGCAACGAAAGGGATAACATGGGAAGCAGGGGTGTCTTGGGGGGAAAAATCAGAATGTGTGAATTTCTGAAAAATCATCACTGTTGATGATGTCATCAGTCTTCTGTTGTGCAAGTTACAGTAACAGAATTTCAGCCAATATCTATTCAGGAGGTAGTGGAAGAAATCAATATTTCATTTTTATCTGCTTGTCTGCCACTCTCACTCCCCCTCGTTCGCTCTCCTCCCTCTCCCCTCTCTCTCACCCACATATTATTTTACAAGCTTTAGGCAAAGACTCCTTTCTGGTAACATCACAAGGCTCACCCTCTGTGACATCACAAGGGCACACCTGGCCATAGGTTTTAAGCCGCAAGCTTTAAGGGAATGGGAATCTGCTGACCTGGCATTGTTACCTCCCATTTAGGTACCAGCTAGACTGCGGTCTGCTGAGCTCTAGCAGAATTGTATGCCTTTGGGTGTTTCTCTTTATTGGAGCTTTGAAAGCATGCTATGAAAGAAACCGCAAGCTGATGTCTGAAGTGTACCACTCTTGCCATCTTTAGTCTAGTAACACATGAAGCCATATTAAAAGCATACTGGGAAGAATGCCAAAAAGAAAAGCACCCTTCAGCAAACTGGCATTCAAATGTTAAGAAAGATTATATTTTTGTATTTACAAGTTACTGTTTGTCCCTTTTTCTTTCTCTGTTTTTTTTTAAAAACTTGTTGTAGATGTTGTGTTTTTCCTTTTTACCTATTTTGAGAAATATCAGCTGCTTTTTATATTCCAGTTCTATTTATACATACTTTCTGCTTCAAAACAACTGCCTTGTGTTGTCTTTTCCTACCAAATTCCTTACTTTCAGTTCAGTGTTTTGTTGATGGTTGAAAGGTATAGTGTATATTGGATGCATTCTGTAGCAGCCTACTAAACTATTTATTAATTCTTGAAAGATCCTTAAAAATGACACCAAACTGAAAACAAAGGTGTGATCTCAGAGGCTTGAGTAATTTTACCTCAAGCACAATCAATTCAAAAGACTGTGAGACAATTACCATATACTTCTCTTCCCCTGAAAGCAGTGGGACTTAAAGTGTCTATCTTTGGCTGAATTTTCTTTGTCCTTTGTGCATGGACAAGAATAACATACACATTATTTGGCAACATGGTCACATAAAATGGCTGCCCGGCTGTACTTGTTGAGCTAGTCTTGAGTGTGGTATTAAGGTTGTGCAGATATGGCAAATGCTGAAATTATATCATCAAGATAGGTGTCAGATATGATAGCACCTCTGAACGATCGCATGCATACAAGGCAGAACATACAAGAGGGATCTATTCAGTGGTGCCTCGCTTGACGATGTTAATTCGTTCCACCAAAATCACTGTAGAGCGAAAACATCGTCAAATGAAATGAAAAAAAAATATTGAAACACATTAAAACCCGGTTAATGTGTTCCAATGGGCTGAATACCTACTCGTCCAGCGAAGATCCTCCATAGGGCGCCCATTTTCGGTGCCTATATCGCGAGGAATCCATCCTAGAAAACAGCGGGGGCCATTTTGAAAGCCAGCGGCCATTTTGAAACCCAACAATCAGCTGTTTGCTGATCATTGTAAAACGATAAATCAGTTCCCGAAACAAGGAACTGATCATCATTAAACGAAAAAACCCAATCGTAAAGCAATCATTAAGCGGGGCACGACTGTACTGGATCCATTTGTATTTATGTGTTAATCTTCTGTTCTGCCCTGATTGTTCCAAAAGCTACACTGCATTTGATTTCTGAAGGTGCCTTCCTTTGTTCTGTAAAAACTGGGAGCAGCTACATTGGTCCATGTTATGAGTGACTTTAACCATGATTCCTATCCATCATTATCCCCACT